AGGCGAAAAGGGTGGATCCATGGGGGAGGGGCACCATATAAGTATATGTAACTATACATATACATATATGTATAAGTAAGCGCTATAAGCCCCATAGTGAACCAACCACGCTGCTCCATCCATAAAACCGGTGCTGCCGATTTGATCTCGAAGCTCCTCTGGTGGGCGTGGGGCGACCCACGGCTTTAGGTTTCAGGAGCCTAACGGGCGAAGCCCTAAGTCAAAGAGGCCCTAAACCTGAAACACCTAGACACGCCCTGGACCCTAAACCCTAAACCCCTAAAGCCTAAACCCTAAACCCTAAACCCTAAACCCTAAACCAAACCCTAAACCGGCCATGAAAGCCTCGAAGTCTAAGGTACGTCCTCCCTCCGGTCCCGTCGGTCGTGACCGTGGCGGGCAGTGGGACAATCGGTTTGCCGCAACTCGGCTGCAACCGTCTTAGGGTTTAGGGTTTAGGGTTTCCTGGTGTTCGGGTTTAGGGTGTAGTAATCCTAAACCCTAGACCCTAAACCCTAAACCGTAGTTTAGTGTTGATGGCTTTGTGCGTTCGGTTTCAGTGTTTCATGTTACCAAGAGGGTCCATATACACTACTATTATGGAATTAGGCCCCCAAAACCATAATAGGGATGGTCCTTTAAGGCCTAATTCCATACTTGTAGTATATATGGACCCTCTGGGTTAGAGCTTCTTAGACGAAGCTTCGGCGACCCGCTACACCACTACACCCCAACCCCCAAACTCCATCTTTAGGGTTTAGGGTTTAGGGTTTACCCGAAACCGTAGGTGGAGTAGACGTCTGCAGATTTATGGCCTTAATATATTGAATATACGCCTCCAGGCAAAGAAGAGACTATAGAGAATAAGGTTTCTTTTTAGACTGGTCTGCAACGTTTAACATAGACGCCTGAATTCATCGCAGCATTGTTCCGTAGAGTTCCCAAGCCCCCATACTTCTGCTCTACATGGAAGTTGCATGCAGGCCACCTGCATGTCTCAAGCTCCCAGGAGGCCCTTCCCAAACAATCCAGAACACCAGAGAGATAGTTACCTAGCAGTGAATGTAGGATAGTGTTGTTGCACTTATAAGATTATGGACTACTCGGACCTGCATAGTTCAGAAAAGCCAATCATCCAAGGGGCTGGGGCCCCTAAACTACCCGACAAGCCAAACAACCCTAAACCCTAAACCCTAACGGAAGCATCAGGGGATCCGTCTACTCTCGATTTAGGAGCCCAGATGATTTGGTTGTACCGCAGACGGCTTCCAGCACATCTTTCGCGGCCCCACAAGGACAGCGCTTTGTTGGTTCAGGGGTGTTCCAGATATTTGTTTTTTTTTAGCAACCCTAAACCCTAAACCAGAAAGAGTTTGGGGGACTGGGGAAGGTTTTGGGTTGCAGGGTTTTGTGAGTTTACCGGGCTTTGGTTCATGATCTTGTTCTCCACTTTTGCTCCCTGCTAGGAGCTCTTTCTTGAATGTGGGAGTTTGGATAGTCAGATCTGTCGCGCTTTTATGGGATTTTGTGGCATTCGATATTCTTGTTTAGGACATCCTGCTTCAACGCTACAAACAGTTTCAAGGTTTCTTTCGAACGACCTGCATGCGAGGATTTTTGGCTGGGTCATCACGTAAGAGCTTGTTCAAAGTAGCGTCCCTTGTGCGTGTTGGGACCCTCAAAAGGGATTGGATATGCCTAGACCCCCCCAGCAACCCTCTAATAGGCCCTAAATTCCTAAATACCATTGAGGACCATAAGGGCTTCATTGAAGGGTACTTCGGGGGTCCTGGTCAACCCTACACCCTAAACCCTAAAGGGTACTTGGGGAGTCCTGGTGCTTTCTGAAGCCAACACCCAGGCTTTTCAGGTGCTGCTGCTATTGCGTGGCTTTAGCTACTGTTGTCGTCATCGTTGTTGTTGGTGGTGATCGTGGTTTCGATGTTGCTGCTGGTGATAGAAGCGCTTGTAACCGGTAGTGGCTCCAGAGTTTCGTTGTTTGTTGATTTGCGCGTGAAGAGGTTCGCGGAAGACATAGACAACCCTGCAACTAAAGCATCACACCGTGAACTTCTGAACTCTAGGTACCCTGGACCCCCCCATGTTACTAAATCGTGATTAATTGACCCGAAACCCATCCGGGCAAGGCATGTGGACGTTGTCATTTACGCTTTGGGGACTGGGAGGAGAAGCTGTAGCTCCTTAAACCCATTACATATCCCTAAACCCTGTGTACGTAATTGACCTTTTTAAGTTTGCCAGACCGTCAACAAAGCTACTTGGAGCGTAGCTCCTCGTAACTAGTAGGAAGCAGCACGCACCGTAGCATTGCAAAGCTCTGTGCTTATGAATACTCAGGAGTCTCCCGAAATCCTAGGCCCTATAACCTATAAACCCTAAACCCCGAAACCCTAAACCGTGAACTTATACACTTATCCTAAACCCGAAGCCTCTGGACAAGCCCCAACCTCCGCTATACGAAGTAAGCCCGAAATCCTTGTTTTAAACCCGAGCCCCTTCACAATATGATCCCAAATTGCCCTTGTAGAGGAATACATATATAGATATGTGAAGCTTATAAACCCTAAACCGGTTTTTGTACGATTTATGCTGATTCACCCTGGAGCCTCTTTCTAATATAATCCTTATAAACTCATAAACCTATGAACCCTAAACCCTATAATGTGAAGCTATAAGCAGCGGTATAGTACTCCTGGGCACAGGCCTGGCATTGGATCAAACTTCGCAGCTGCTTTACATCGCCGATACCTGGCCAAGGTTTATAGGGCGTTTCGTGGTGTATACATAGATATGTGTAACATATGTATATATATATATATATATCTGTAATATACATATATATATATATACACACGTTATAAGGGTTCGTGTACTTGCATAATATATACATTGACCCAAATATAGGCCTTGCAGCGCCGTATATTTATCGATTGGGTTTAAGCTTGGTGAATCAAGTTTTGAGGTCTGATTTTGGTGATAATTGCTGTATGTTGAACCCTAAACCCTAAACCCTATGGACCCTAAACCTGTGTTGCCGATGCGAGGAGTAAAAGTCAGGGCCGATGTCTTGTACCTAGGCTGGCGTTAGGAAGCAGATGCTTAGGGTTTAGGGTTTAGGGGGAAATTCGGAAAGGGGCTTGTTGATTCCCTTATTGGTGGTTGGCTGGACGAAGCCCACACCCTACAAACCCTAAACCCCTGCACCCAAAACTGTCGTTTGTTTAGGTGCCATGGTTGCAGGGTCTGGCTGGATTGTTCGTGGCTAGAGTGTAGGTGTTTTTAGCACTGCCCCTTGAGGGGCCAAGCAGCTTCACTCTTGGCCAGAAGGCCAAGACGAACCCAAGACAAGCTTCCTAGCGATGAAACCCATGCGCGGGATTTAGAATTTTTAGGACTTCTGAATCAAGCGAATGACAACCCAAAGGAGTTTCACTCCAATGGTTATGAGTTATGAGTTTCGGGGTCAGCCGTCCACGGGCGCATCGGCATCTTCTTGTGGCTTACGGTTTAATGCAAAGGAGACTTTAGAATGTCGTTGGGCACATAAAAGACACCGCAAAAGCCTTGCACCATTTGTTGCTGGGTTTCGCAAGGAATCAACCGAACCTGCAGAAGCTCCAAACCTCTTAGTCTTACGCTTCCACCCTCTACATCAAGCCCCATGCTGCAGAACCCCAACTCGAAACCCGACCTTGACGCAGGCCCCTAAACCCGAAACCCTAAGCCTAAACCCTACAAGCCCTAAACCCTAGACTCTGAACCCTCACCCTAAACCCTAAACCCTCCCTTGACGAAGGACAGTGAGAACGGCCGTGTGCGTCGGCTCGATCTCGGCGCAGGGACGATCAGGATGTTCACGTAAAAAGTTCCTTTCGGAGTTCCTTTAAACTGGGTTCTTTTCAAGGGATTTTTGTTTACTAGGATGTTCAGTAGTATCAGTTTTTTACTTTTTTGGGGTATTTTCCTAGTCAAAACAAACTAACCCAAAAAAGTATATACTTTTCCCAATTGGTTACTCAACAGCTTAGTTTAAGTTGCAACAACAAGGAAACCATGCTATTCACCATAAATCTGTATCATGGCAACTTAAAGCAAAACCTTACCTGTTAACAAGAACCCGGTAAATGGTTCTGTCAGGGACCACCAGTACTAACTTCGGGCACCATGCCAACGAGTGGGGCGCTCTAGTCGAAGTCTGGCTGTTTGGGATTTGCTACGGGGTCTACGAAAGGAAATTATGGCCATATATTGCGACTTCCAAGCTAGACCACAACTTAAAGATTTATGGTTTAGGGTGTAGTGTAGGGGCGGACTTTATGTATCTTCGCTGCGGGCGGACTTGGAAAATGCGTCCTGTGCAGGACCATTGCCGGGGGAGCCATCAACGACGAGGCCTGAGCTACAGTTACGTTGGTGTAGTCCCTCTGCATAATCCAGGCGGGCGGGAATATCCTATACCTTAAGAACCTAAAACCTACTTTTTTGTAGGGTCCCTATAATTCCCATATTAGGGTTTATAATAAGAACCTACAAAAAAGTGGGTTTGGGGTTCTTAAGGTATAAACCTTGACAGGAATCCCAGAACCCGTGTAAACCCTGAACCGTGTAATCCTCAGACCCCTCCTGACCCCCTAAACACTAAAACTCTTTTTAGGGGTTTAGGGTTTAGGGTTTAGGGTTTAGGGTTTAGGGTTTAGGGTTTAGGGTAAATCCAAGGTCCCTAAACGCTGACACCGTAAACCCTGACACCCTAGAGCCTAAACCCTAAATGCCCCTAACAAACTCAGTCACTTCAAGGGCCACAAAATCGGATCCCTGTTCTCCAAAAACACCGAGTTGCTGTAATATAGGGGCCTAAATAATTACCAATGTTATTTTTGAGGGGTTCTTTATTATAAATATAGTAAACTGGGCCCCCTATATTATACAATCCTACATCCTGAACCCCTAAACCGAAAAAGCCTTAAACACTTAACACTAAACTCAAGAGTTTCAACCCGAAACATCTCTAATCACAATAGCCTGAACCCTGGACCCGAAAGCCTGCATAAGCTCGAGGGTTTAGGGGTTAGGGGGTTTGGATCCTTCCGGGGATTCTGGGTAGGTTGTACTTTGTCATGGTAGAATCCCTCAACACAAGCAGAGCTCCTGCTGCTGAACCCGAGACCCTATAAAACCCTAGACCTGATTTTTTATTGGCCTAAGTAATTACTTACCAACACTTTTTTTTGGGGGGTGGCTCCTTATTATAGTTGTAGTATATTGGGCCTCAAAACCTTCTTCCAATTATTAAGGCATCGACATTAAGCCCTAAACCCTAAACCCCTAAACCCCTAAACCCTAAACCCTAAACCCTAAACCCTAAACCCTAAACTCCTAAACCCTAAACCCCATAAGCCCTAAACCCTAGCCCTAAACCCTAAACCCTCCACAGCTCACGGACGGCGTGGCCGCCGACTCGGGGAAGCTCTTCCGACCCCGGGGCCTTGCGCTGGACACCTCGAGGCCAAGGGGTCCCAGACCCCCAAAAGGATCCAAAAAGTAATGTAGGGGCCTTATGGTTTAGGGTTTAGGGTTTAGAGTTTAGGGTTTAGGGTTTAGGGTAATGTAGGGGCCTTATGGGTGGTTGTCAAAATTATGGTCCCTTTTGGGGTACCCTAAATAATAGGTGCCGTATTATAGTAAGGACCCAAAAAGAAACCCTAATCTTGACAAAAACCCTTATAAGTAGTCACCAATACTATTTTGGGGGTTCCTTCTTGTAATTATCGTATAATGAGTTTAATGGGCCCTCAAACCCTATACTTGAGGGATCCCTTAAAAGGGGGTTCCTATAAAGTACCCCTTAGTAGTCTAGGGTCCCAATTTAGGGGATCTACTTTCTAGATCCGTCCCGGGGTCTGGGATACGGGAGCTTTGTATACTGGTATAGGGTTTTCGGTTTAGGGGTCTGGGGGTTAGGGTCTGTGGGGTTTAGGGTTTACATGTCATGTACCTATCATATTATGTGTGTGTATACGCACTAATGTTGTACGTATGTACGTGGTTTCACAGCGCTTTTGCTAGGTTTTCATGGGTTTGATGTAGGGCTTTGGTCTGAGGTTTTGGAGTTCAATCTTGATTCAGAGTTAAGTTTAGGGATAAGGACGGGTTTAGGGTTTGTGTGGCTTAACCGTTCTTCTTCAACACGAGCCTGATTCCGAAATGTCTGCCCCAAGCTCCAACTAGATCCCCGGAGATCCTTACAAACTCAGTGACGCACTGCAAACCTCACTGGAGCTGCTTTCCTGAAAGGCTACGACGACTGCTTAGGGAGAGATCTCGATGTCAGCCCGAAACCCCGAAACCCAAGAGCCCTCAAACCCGAGATCTCCTGCTGGAAACCTCTTGTGTATGCACCATGCAGGAACTCCCACGTCCCTAAACCCTAAACCCCGTTGAGAGTAAGACTGAGAGATTCAAAGTCCATAAAACCCACGGGCCCCTAAACCCTAAACCCAGAGGCCTGGGAACACCGGGACCTCAACTCGTCGCAAGGCCCATAAGCTTACAGTAGAAGCCCAAAAGTTGGAAACCCAAAGCCTCCATCCTTTAGAGCAATGTGACCCAGCACTGATGGTCCTTAATCCGGCTTCCAACTTTTTGGGGTTTACTATAAGACCTCCAAACCCCCAAACCCTAAACCCTAAACCCTAAACTTTAAACCCCTAAACCCTTATGTTAGAATATACCCCAAAACCCGATTCTAATTATTATTGCCCCGACAATACAAGCTTAAGACCTCCGAACCCTCAACTCCGAACTCGAGCGCTTGAGTCGGCCCCACAAGTACCCCAGCAAGCGAGAACTTGCGCTTCTTTGCTTCGTAAGTTTTGATTTCCTGACATGAAGCCGAAAAGTTTCATAATTATGATTTCCTGACATGACTGCGTAGAAGGACTAGGATTAAGCATCATATAGTTATGACTTCCTGACATGAATGCGTGAAAAAGAGTGGGGTTAATCGCGGTTAACCCGAAACCCTAAACCCCTAAACCCTAAACCCTAAACCCTAAACTTAAGCTCAACCCCGAGCTTCCTCTTCAGCTTTAGAGTGGCCCCAGAGCCCTCCAGGACTTAGGGCTTAGGGTTATAAGGTTCAGGGTTCAGGGTTTAGGGTTTAGGGGTTTAGGGGTTTAGGGGTTTAGGGTTTAGGGTTTAAGTTTAGGGTTTTGGGGTTTAGGATTTAAGTTTAGATTTATAGGGTTTAGGATTGGGGCCTATAGCCTTCCAGGGGATTTCTCTACGTCAGCGACAGCCACCACCGCAAAGTTCGCCGCATTGATTTGGGCTCAGCGCCCCTGTCCGGAGGCCGTGATCCACTCGAGTCCTGGGATCCTTCTGTAGGATTTTGCGTGGTGTTTTATTTGTTGTTTTTATTGTTCGGGTTCTTATGGTCCAACTTTTTGTTTTCGGTAGTGATATATGTAAGGGCTGAGAGATTTAGGTTTCTGTACCTGTCCAATGCGGGTGTGCGGTGGCTTAGGAGCGGGTTGAGGCTTGGAGTTTAATGTCAAGGCCGACCCCTGCCGAATGAGCCCGATTCTCCTTTCCAGGGAAGTTGACCACCCAGACCTTCCAACTACCCTCTCATATGCCCTAAACACCTACTATTATGGACCATGATAGCCCTAAACCCTAAACCCTCAACCCTAAACCCTAAACCCTAAACTAATAAGGGCTTTATTAAAGGGTGCAGAGGGCGGCTCCTGGCCGGGGTCTACATCTTAGTGGCTCAGTAGGTAACCTTTAACCCTTTGGGGCTCTTATAATCCTACGTACTACAGTTCAAAACCCTAAACCCTAAACTCTAAAACCTAAACCCTAAACCCTAAACCTTAAATTTAAAAGGTTAGCCTTTTTGGGGCTAGGGTACTCAGCCCCTAAGACATTAAAGGTTCGCCTCTGGGCCGGCGTGGGATCCCCCATCTTTGAGAGTTCCGGAGTGAGACGACGGTCATTGAGGGTTTAGGGTTTAGGGAACATGTTGAATGACCCAAAGGGTCCTAAGTACCTAGAATAGTAGAAAGTATGGGGTTTCAAGGGTAGGAGTTGCCATTATGGTTTGGGTTCAGTATTTCCTGTATAGGTACTTAGCACCTTTGCGGGAGTGTGATGAAACCCTTGACACAGAGGGTCGATGATTTAGGAAGTGGGGATAGGGAACCTGATTGCGAAACCCTGATCCAGGAACCCCAAAATTTTAGGGTCCATGTAAGGTGCCCAAATAAAGACCCAAGATTTCTTAGCCAGCTTTCTACAGTTGGATTTTAGGGTTTAGGGTTTTGGGGGAGTCAGGGTTGGGTTTAGGGTTTTCGGTTTGAGGGGCCGCGGGTCCATAGTAGCGTAGCAGTATATGCCGGAACCCAGAAGCACTAACGTTCAAGATTGAAACTCGTCTTTTTGCTCCGGAAAATAGCCGTCCTGACCCTAGACGGTGATGCAGTTCTAGCGGCCTGGAGAATAGTAAGTGCAGTGACGAAAATGATTAATGACAAGAGAGTTACGATAAGGTAAAACTGACAAGATAACTACATAATCTGCACATGCAGAGAAGGTGCGGCAGGCGCAGGGGCACATGCTACGTCGTCCGAAACCGTGATTGAAAAGCGGATGCTTTGAGCCAGTGGCTTTTTGATTCAATGACCCCTGAGGGATTTAGGGTTTAGCTCCGGGTTCTGGATGAATACCCCTTCATTCATACGGGATTACTCTCTCTCTCTCTCTCTACGACAACTGGCTGGCATTTGCTGGGCGAGGGGTCGACAACAATGAAAAACGGCGTTATGAAACCTCACCTAAATATGCATGAAAGCTTTTAAATCCCTCATGAAGCCTTTCTAGTCTAAAGGCCAAAGTTTGGATTCGTAACCGTACCCTAAACCCCTAAACCCCTAAACCCCTAAACCCCTAAACCCTAAACCCTAAACCCCAAACCCTAAACCCTAAACCCTAAACCCTAAACCCCTAAACCCTAAACCCTAAACTGAAATGATGTACGGAGATCCCGGGAAGGCACGATCACCACACTCTCCGGTTCCGGATTCGACGTGGCTGACTTTGAACAGCGGCTCCGTCTCCCAAAGGGTCCTTGGTAATTTAGGGTTTAGGGTGTAGGGTTTGGGGTTTGGGGTTTGGGGTTTAGGGTTTAGGCTCAGTAATTACCTATATAGTATTTGGGGGCTCCTTGTTATCACTATATTATAAAGGACCCCAAAACCCTATTCTATATAATTACAAAGGCCCCTATATTACTGTCATGGGGTGACACTTTCCCAAATCATAATAAGGATTCCTTATATAGAAACCCTACATTCTACCATTTAGGTACCTATAGGGCCCTTTGGGTCTGCCATGTCCGTTTTGTATCAGAATCCAAGCCGCGGCTTGCTCTGCAACGTCTTGTGTTTAACCTCAGGGTGAGTCCTGATAGTGTATACAGGGGCCTTATAAGAATCAGAATAGGGTCTTGGGGTAGAAAATGCTATAAGTATAACAAGGAACCACCCCCGCAAAATGATAGGTCATTATCGAGGCCCCCATCTATTAACTCGTTTTAGGGTTTATAGTAGAAGCCAGAAAGTTGGAACATGATTATCCTCATGCCCTTAAGGTAAACAATAAGGGATCCTAGCACTAATCCTCCTAAACCCGTGTTCCAACTTTCTGGCTTCTACTATATGTAGTTGCCAGCACAAGGGCTTCTGCAGCAACCCTCGCCTGAATCTCCAAAGTAGGGTTTAGGGTTTAGGGTTTAGGGTTTAGGGTTAGGAAGGATCGCTGTGTTGCACCATAGATTCGCCTGATAGATTCTGATATTTTCTTCGTTGTACTGCTAAGGTACCACATGCCGCACGCCAAGGCCCTAATGGGTTTGGTTTTCTTCATGCTTCATGAGCAGTCTCGTTCTTCCAGCATAGAAAGTTCAAAAAGCTTGCATCTAGGCCATGACTGAATGGAGTTGTGTCCACAATTCAGCTCATTCAGACTGGTTGTTGGGCCTGTAGTATGTTTACTTGATTCTTAAAGGTTGCTGCTGAGGTGTGCATGTGATTCTCTTAGGTTTGCGATGCTTTAGAAGACCCTAGACATAAACTTGAGGGCTTCACGGGTTCAGTGCTCAAAGGGTGTAGTAGGGTTTGTAAGATTCAGTGCTCGAAGGCTTCAGGATTTAGGTTTAATGCCGTTAAACCCTAAACTCTTAAACCTTTAAAAGGCCCTAAAGGGGCCAAGGATGGTCTAGCCCTAACTCTACCGAGTCCCTGCCTGCATGTTTGTTCAGTTGCGGTTTGAAGGTCACAAGCACTTCAAGCCATTGGAACCGGTGCGACGAGTACACGGTTTTCGGACAGAGTTAGAGCTTTTTTTCGGGTTTCGGGTTTAGGGCTTGAAAGGCTTTACCTAAACATGGATTACTCTACGGCCAAAGGGCATACTCTTTGGGCACATGCACGTTTAGGGAAAGTAGTTTGCTGAACCCTATAAACCCGAAGCCCAAAACCCTAAACCCTAAAACCTGGTTGAGAGATATATATGGCTTTCCTTTTCGGGAATCCTGAGAGGAGCCCTTGAAGGGGTCCATGGACCCTTAGGAAATGTAGTTTAGTAAACCCTAAGCCCTAAAGCCCCCAAAGACCCTAGAGCGGCCTAGGATGGTCTTGGGTTATAACACAGGTTAAAGCCCTTTTTAAGCTTCACTGTAAGCTATCAGGGTTCTTCTAGGGCTTCCCTTGAAATGTTGCTTCTATAATAAGTCCTACGGGTTCCTTATTAAACCCCAAACTCGGCCCCAAAAGGAGTTCAAGAAAAATATAAACCCTAAACTCTAAACCCTAAAGCCTAAACTTTTAGCCGGTTCTCTTTAAGGTGTAGGCTGCGTTCGAGTCGGTTTTGTCCAGCCCAGGCGTCTCCTGGACCCGGCTGGGCTGCTCTTGGATACCACAGCAACTTTGGCCTAAAGGGTCATTATATAATGTATGTGTATTTATTTTTCCACAATATCTGTGTGTATATATATATAGAGAGAGAGAGGTAGATAAACCGATGCATACATAATACCATAACATATACGTACTGTTGTATAGGCACGATGGAGTGGAAGATTAGTTGAGGTTGTCGGGTGAGGCTTTAGTTTAGCTTGATTTTAGTGTGATATTTGGTCCAGGGATCGGGTTTTGGGTTTGGGGTTCGGCTTGAATTAACAGCTTCCAACTGCACAATAAGTACTTAGATACGTTGGGTAGAAGTGATTGCAAAAAGACGTGCTGTAGCATGGGAGATGTCGCGGCTTTAGTCGCGCTGAGCTTTCGTGGCTTTGGCAAGTATTGAACTTTCGGGGCCGTGTTGCGTGGATTTTTGAGTGTTTGAGGCTTCAGGTCTCGAGGATTAAAGTTCTAAATAGGGTAAAGCTTTCAAGGAGGGCCCGGCATGGCTTCCGGGCTTTGTGGAGGTGTTAGGTAATTTCATTGCTTAGGGCTTGGGGGTTGGGGTTTAGGGTTTAGGGATTCCTCAATTTGCTATATTGGGGGCTTTGGGGAAGGGGCTGGCAAAAAAGTGGGTCCTGGCAACTAAACCCTCGATGCCGCGAGCCGCAAAAAACATAGGTTCTGGTAGCTCGGGGCCTGAAGTGTACCTAGAGGGTCATACCCCTCCCGCTTTTCTAGTGTACCGAGCTTTATGGTTAAGTAGGATCTGGAATATAGTCAAGTATTAAAACAGGGGTTATGGTATGAGCGTGTAGGTAACGCCATCTGAAAGTCCTACACCAAGACTTGCATGCCTTCCCCAAATGTCCTAACTTTTCTAGGGGATACTTACCCAAAACCATAGTAGGAATTCCTAGTCCAGAAACCCTACTTCAAGTACTTCGGACCCCTTGGGTTTTGCGACCCCAAGGCGAACTATCTGTACGTGGCGGATACCGGCCACGGGCGGCTGCGCTTCGTGGATGCAGATCCGAACCTGGCCTGTCCCAGCGAGGTGCCGCAAATTGACGGGGGGGCTTTGGGCCTTGAAGGGTTAAATTTATAGGGTTTGATGCTAAGCTTCACAATAGGGTTTAGGCTAATTAAACTATAGGGTTTGAGGTCAAAGTTTCCGGGTTTAGGGTTTAGGGCTCCGCAAGAATGACCGGGCTTAAAGCTTTAGGGTTTAGGGTTTGGGGTTACATTAAAGGGACTTGAAAAGGTGCTTTTGTTTAAGCCTTGTTGGCTGTGGGGTTTAGGGCTTAGGCTGAAGTTTTCGGGTTTAGGGGTCTACGGGATGCAAGGTTTCCCTTAACATACTCTGACCAGTTTTACGGGACTTCCTGTAGGTACTTGAAGGCCAAAGTCTATGCCATTCATATAGGGGCCTGAATAATTAGAACAGGGTTTGGGGTATATTACACTATAACTATAATAAGGAACCCCCAAAACCCTATTCGTAATTATTAAGGCCCTATATTAGGTGCATGGACCCTACGCTACGTTCAGATTCAGGGGCTTTGGAAGCTCAGAGCTTCGGGTGCAATGTGGGAGGGTTTTGGGGCCTTCAGGTTTTCGGTGGTTTGGGCCTAAGAACCCAAAACCTACTTTTTTGTAGGGTCCCTATCAATCCCATATTAGGGTTTATAATNNGTTTTGGGTTCTTAAGGTAAGGCTTATAATTTTCTGAGGGCAGTAGCTTTGCTGGGCTGAGGGCTTGTACTTGTCGGACTGGCTTCTAGGGCTCAAAGGCTTTCGGGGTCAGAGGTGGCGGCGTGTAGATGTCCGGGGGCTGCAAGCCCAAGACATCGTGCAAGATATGAGGACCACACTGGGAGATGCCTTTTCTGTAGCCCCAAACCTCACAAGATAATTGTAGGCTATGGCTCCTAAAACCGTGGCTTGTTCAACACTAAGAATACCTTTCGAATCAGTAACCCTAAACCCTAAACTCCTGAA